AACTTCTTCAGATCTGAAGGAATGTTTTTATTTTGTTTTGACTATGGTAGACCAACACGGCTACCTACCTGTAACTAGAATCATTTGAGAAGAGGCCTTCCCACATATGTGTGGGAGAAGAAAATGTCCCTTTTATGCCAAGTATGCCCACACTTGTCTTTGTATGTTATGGCAAGCCATAAATCAGGGCTGTCCAACAGGTTGATTGCGATCTACTGGTTGATCACATCACAGGGTGTCCCTGGTCGATCCTGGTCAATCTTTGAACCCCCAGCAAAAGGCTCAACAACTTTGGCTTCCTAAAACAACTCTGACAATGGGTAGATCACTGACAGTTTTCTAATACTGTGAGTAGATCGCAGACTCTTGGAAGTTGGACACCCCTGCCATAAACCATGAGCATCTTTTATTTTGTTTTGGTCTGCGCTTCCTCAAGTTGGGAGACACAAATCATGAGGCTTGATTTATTTTAATGTACAAACCGGCACTCATGGATTGTGAAGGGTAGGTGGGTTCCCACGGGGGAAGACACAACGATAACAGCAAGAACCTTTATTGAACTAACAGAACTGGACAACAGGTGCAAAGCAACTGCTTATATACATTTCTGACGGTCTGGGCCACTCCCACTCCAAACGTGATTGGCTATCTAAACTTCTAAGCTGCGAACCATGACTCAGAGTTTAAGGGCCAATGGCAGAGGCTCAAATTCTGAAATGTTCTGTGATTGGATATCATGTATTGAATCACAGGAGCTCACAATCCTTAGTCCAGACTCAAGCTCAGGCAAACACAGACCACTGAATACATAACAGTTTGATTCTAACACATCATGTTAAGCCAAGCTTTGTGGTTTGTTACTCCAGGCTTGAAGGTGAGTGGAGTAAAATGGGAGCAATTCATCAACATGCTCTAACCTGCTTCTTCTTCACAGCAAGTCATGGCCAATGGCTTAATGTGAGGTGTAAACAGTGGCTAATGCCTGCTGCAAAAAAAGAACACATCATCTAAAAACAAAGTGCTTTTTCAGTACAATTATTGATTTTTATCAAATGTAAATTGCATGTTGCATGCAACATATGCTCCAACTCTTGAATTTGTTTCAGAGGAAATAATCTTTTCCTTTCTTTCTTGGGGCTTTGACCTTCTAGGCTAACTCAGGTATTGCAGCAGCTGCCAGAAGTCTTTAAAATTTTTGCCCACAGCACTTGGACCAAAACAGTGAACATCTGAGGAGGCTATCAAAAAGACAATGAGAAGTGGAACGAGTGAGGATGGGTAGAAAGAGCACAATGCTAAAGCATTTGTGGCTATATGAATAAAACATGCAAATAAACTCATCTGCATGTACTTTGAAAAATGTAATCCAACTCTATCTATGAGTGTTTTGGAATTTTTCTCTAAAACCAAAAGTGAAAAAAAAATGCAATTTGACAACGATGGGGTGAGTGGAAAATGAAGCTGGATGGATAGCTTTGCATACTTAAAGCATGTCTCTGCTGCCATCATAGTTTGTATTTTTTATGTTCAAATGATTCATTTGTGCATTCCTTATTTTTCCACCCCAACAGGTATGACACAGTTTGTTCATCTTATGAATCAGTATTACCAAAAGAAAAGTAAATATAAAGTAAAATATTACAGAGGACATCACAAAGTTTATAAGTGACACATTTCTCTATCAATGAGAACAAACACCCATCAATACAGTGCCATTTTACTTCATGCCCAAACATGCCCAAAGAATCGTTTTACTGGAACATGTTGTTGAATGTGTTTGCCACATATAATTTCAAAACCATTCATTTTTCCCATCAAAAATAACAGTTCCATTCACTTTTTTGCTGAACAGCAATATTTTAGTGACTAATGGAGCTGTAAGCCTAGTGTAATTTTGAAGATACAATTTCACATTTGAGAGTGAAAAGAAGAATATGGCATTTTAAACAGTGTAAAATGTCAATAATCAAACAGCAGGCAAGTTTCTGGTGTTCAAAGAAAGACTATACTGATCTCAAGGAGAGAGAACTCTCCATCTAAATAAGTCATGAGGGCCCTTGATTAATGCTTTAAGTTCCTTCACTATACAATATGGAAATGTACTTCTCAGAAATGTAATTGCAATATTCTAACACTCACAGAAACAACAATTTTCCAAACACAACTGTGACATTTTCAAAAACTCATTTCAAAAAGATCACATACAATAGTTTTCCTTAGACTTCACAGAAAACGGAAACATAGCCCCCAAATTTAAGAGGCAAAGTTGGGCCTAAAGAACCCAAGTTGAGAAGCACAAAGATGATACACTGAAGGTGATATACTTTATTGGATTTTTCATTGCACACAGCATGTATATAGAAAAGTAACCAGTTTTCGGGAGCACATGAAGAATAAAAGTCACAATAAAATGCAACCAATTTTTGTTCTCTTACTGAGCACTTCTGCTCAGCATATCCTTTCTGTACATTTTTGTCTATTCACTCATTACCTTAAGTGTCCTCATGTGGGTTGTTAAAAAATCGGTTGGGAAGCAATGGATAAGACCACCTTTGTTTGTCATAAATAATAATAATAATAATAAAAACCAGGAAAGACCCAGTGGCTCCCAAACTGTCCTTGGGAGTGGCTCTTGGTGCTAGGAAATATTAGCACCATTTATGTTCATTAGCAGTAGCTCTCCAATTACTTGCACAAACAAACAAATAAACAAACAGTGAGAAACATCCCCTTCAAATGTTTAAAGATATCAAGCCCATGTGTCTATCAACACAGACCTTGAATCCAGCATTCCACAGGAAGAACATTAAAAAACCCGACTATATGTGTTTTTACATTTGAAAAGTGCAAGATCATTCACATTCAGCACAGATGCTTCGGAAACAACCTTATAGATTTAACTCCAATTTCAGCATACGTGGGACAGAACAAGCAGAACAAGAAACAGATCACACCCTAAACATTATGCTGCAGATCATAGGTAATGCTATACAATGCTTTTCCATTACTGTAGATGGCAACAGGTGAACTCTTAGGCCAAGAGAATAAATATTGTCCTTTAGCACCTGAGATATATACAGAATGCTCTATGAGCGGCAAGAGAATTCTCTGTTCATATAAGGGGCAATCTCCAAGCATACTAGGAATATCTCTCTTTATAGAATGAAAGTGGAAGCCCCTATGGATGTAATGAGTTGGATGTTAATCACCTTACAGAAAATATATAGGCACAAAAAAGGATACTCTCCAAGAACCAGAAAGCAAACTTCTATGGATAATGCATCAACAACTGAAATGTATTCTCCACATGGATAGAGAATCAACATTTATATTATAACAACACTGCTTAAAATTCAACTAGTTCCAAAGACTTGTTTTCATAAATTCAGTTGACAATAAGCAAGCGATCAAATTCAGAACGTTGCTCAAAAACAATGCTAAAATATGCCACTGTAGACAAACCATGTTTTTTATGAGGCAAATTTTAAATGTAAGAACTTTGTTGTGATGTAAACACTATCTGAGAGGCAAATCGTTAACTGAATAAGAAAAGCCTTCTCTTTCACTCCAGGCTAGAGCCAGAGAAGAGATAGACAACAGTATGTCAAGTGGCAGTTAAACGGTCACAGTTGTTCTCTGTTGCTAAGGAGATATCAATGTACCTGTGATGCTTCTCCATTTATGTACATGCAGTATTATCCAAAGGGTCACTTTATGATTGGTCATTTAATGAATATTCCATTCAAACTTATTGGTCCATCAGAAACCAATTGGTCCATCAGAAAACAGTTGATTGGCCTGAAGGGAATATAAGGCCAGACACAGCACTGTTTGGTGCAGTCCTTGGTGGACCATGAAGAGATTTAGTGAGGGATTTGAGAAGAACCTAGAGAGAGAATCTGGAGGTGTTGAGTCAACCTGGAAGCTGAAGTCATAGAAGATCTATGAGATAGATGTTGAAGACTCCAGCAGCATTTTGGGAGGGAGGGGAGAAGTGGAGGCCAATGAGACAGCAGGTGTCAGTTGACAGGAGGAAACAATGAGTTCCTGGCCAGATTGAACACGTCTGGTGAAGACATCAGAAAAGCCTGGAAGCTGTCTGAGGGAAAGTGAACCTCAAAAAGAGGGAAGAGGTTTTCTAAACAAAGCTGTGGGCAGCGGCAGAGGAAGCTGCTTGAGCGCCTGGGGTGGTGCGTCCAGGGGCTGGGCGGGCTGCCCATATGGGGCAGGGCACACTGTGGGGCGTCTGGAGTCTGCCTTCCTCCCCCCATTCAGCCGCCCTACAGCTGGGGGGGGGGGTAGGCAGCAGCCAGACCGTTTGGGCAGCATGGAGCCTGTACACACCCAAGCCACCGTGTCTATCGCAGGAGAGACGTGGTGGCTCTGGCACGCTGCATGACCCGCAGTGAATGCCACCTGGCATTTTGTCAACCCCCCCTGTGGTGACACCCAGGGTGGACCGCAGCCACCGCACCCCCCTTCCTCCGCCCTTGCCTATGGGTTATCTGAGGAAAATGTGGGAAGGAGAATTGCCTCTGTTTATTAATGAAGGGATAGGAACCAGAGTAAGCCCCTAGACATTTTCTTAAAACAGTAGCACCATTAATGACCATGAAAAAACTACTTAAAGCAATAGCCACACTAACAAATAACAGTAAGTTACAGTAACTGCAACTGCCTAGAGTGCTATTGTGCTCATGTTGTGCATTGAGACTTTCTGTGGCATTTGTTCGATGACTTTCTTTTTAACTGCTTTCGATTTTTCTTCTTAGATTGTTTTTAAGCTGAAGTCTTAAATCTTTTTTGTATTGTATCCATTTTGTGTAAGCCACCTTTCTGTAGTTTTTTTTAGACAGGCAGGGTATATTTATATTTGTATAAATAGTGATAGTAACGTAACAGCACATATTGTTTATGCCTTTTAACTAAATATGGGGAGGAGAGAACCTCCTAAAATATGCCTGTAGATATGTCACTCACAGTGGAACGGGTGTACTAACCTGTTTTAGGGTCAACAGAGAAATATGGCTGTCCCTGAAGAATACTGTACACGACCCGAGCACTGTTTCCATAGGTGGGGTCATCAGCATCTGTAGCTGTCACCTGAAGGACTGAGGTACCTATGATATCCAAGAAAACATGATTTAGCTGTTTAGATCAACATTCCAATGAATATGCAATATCTGACATAGATCAACATTCCAATGAATATGCAATATCTGCTTTTTAGCAGTGCCCTTTCTAACATTTTCCTCAAGATAACTAAAGGTAAAGGACCCCTGACAGTTAAGTCCAGTTGCAAATGGTGCTGGGGTTGCGGCGCTCATCTCGTTTTACAGGCCGAGGGAGCTGATGTTTGTCCGCAGACAGTTTTTCCAGGTCATGTGGCCAGCATGACTAACCACTTCTGGCGAAACCAGAGCAGCGCATGGAAACACCGTTTACCTTCCCTCCAGAGTGGTACCTATTTATCTACTTGCACTTTGATGTGCTTTCGAACTGCTAGGTTGGCAGGAGCTGGGACCAAGCAACAGGAGCTCACCCCGTCACAGGGATTCGAACCGCCAACCTTCTGATTGGCAAGCCCTAGGCTCAGTGTTTTAGACCACAGTGCCACCCGCATCCCTAAAGACAACCAGATCCTGCCTAATAACTCTCTTTTGTTAGACTACTGGCTTTCTTGATAATAAAGTGCTCAGGAGCTCAACTTAGTGGATTTCTGCAGAAGATTGATATCACAAACCAGGCATAGGCTTCTCATTGGCATCTATGCTCTGTAGGGCTTTGAAAGTGATGTCCCTTGGAACTTGGTATTCATGTTATGGGCTGTAACTTTGTACCATGACTAGAAGGATCCCAGCTGATATGGGTGGGTTGTGCTTATTGTAAGATATATGCATTAATACTGAAACACACACAATTGTTTCCAAACAGAAACTCTAGAAAAGTTACCTAGACAAGCTAAAAAACTTGCATACATCCTGCCGCCCACAGTTAACTCCCTGTAGTTACTCGAAGAAAGGGCGCTTTTCACATACAAATGACACCTGACTCATAAACTGGAAATTAAACTGCGGCTGTAATCTTTAGAGTGTTTAACTGAAAGTTAATTCCATCAAAATCAAGAGAAGCTACTTCAGAGAAAGTGTATTTAGGACAGATTAGAAACATCTCATTGTCTGGAGAGGTAATTACATTGTATTTATCAGACTTATTAGTCACTTGTTACCCGAAAGTCTCCAAGCAACTTACAGCATGTGTATCTGAAGAAGTGTGCATGCACACGAAAGCTTATACCAAGAACTAACTTAGTTGGTCTTTAAGGTGCTACAGGAAGGATTTTTTTATTTTAGCATATATATATATACTGTATGTATGTCTCTCTCTGTGTACTCTCTCTCTCTCTCTCTCTCTCTCTCTCTCTCTCTCACACACACACACACACACACACACACATGCAGTCCTTTTTTTCCTAAAATGTTTAGGGGTACTCTCATTTTGACTCAAGAAAATCACCGGGAAATGAAATGAAGCCACCATCGTAGGTGGTAACAATCAAACTGACCAATCACCGTGTTAGATTCCAACTCCTACTTCACACATTAAACGTTCGCTTCCATCTGAGACTCAGGAAACACTGTGACAGGAAATGAGGCTGCCATTGGGGGTAGCAATGGAACTGACGATTCACCATGCTAGAGAAGAAACTAAAAAAATAATAATTTAGTTTCTTCTCCCATTAGATTCACAAACCCCCTGCATACCCCTATAAAAAGTGTGTGTGTGTGTGTGTGTGTGTGTATCTATCTCTGTGTGTGTATCACACACACAGAGACAAAGAGAGACAGAGAAAATGTAGTATAAACACTGACAACAGGGAAACACTGGCCTGCGAACAGCCTTTACCAAAGGTGTCATGGGCTTTGAAGACACTCAAACTCAGGACACAAGGGAGAAACGTGCTAGGAGGAAGGCACGCTAGGCAAATCCACACCGTTTTCAGCTCCCGCCCGGAAACCAATGTCCCCACTGTGGAAGGACGTGTGGATCCAGAATTGGCCTCCACAGTCACTTACGGACTCATTGTTAAAAGCGTGTTTATGGAAGACAATCTTACTCGGCTACGAGTGATTGCCAAAGAAGAAGACATATTACCATGGGGGGGAGGGAAAGTTGGGGAAATCATATAATACATTAATATTTCATATAACTTAACATCCATTAAAAGACTCAAATAATAAACAAAGCAATACTCTGACCCACTAGTTAAAAAATAAACAAAACCTCAACCTCCCTCTGATCCAAAAATCATTCACATTGAACCAACCATTTTCCCCCTTTAATCTCCCCACCCCACCGATAAGTCTGGTGTCAAGGCCAACAGTTGCAAATCAGTGACGGTTGAGTCCAGTGTCCTTCAGGGATCGTCCAGCTTTTCTCCTCTCCCTTCAGGGGAGAAATATAACAAAGCAAAGCAGGAAGATGGTAACAAAAGTTTTACCTGCTTTGCAGTTGACCTGGCCTGGTTCACATGGCGAAGCTATTTTTAAATGTCGCAAAGGAAGCAAGTGAGTGCTGATAAGAGAAATCCAATATTTTAATATGTAGTCAAGATTGGTCATTACATTGCAAAGCAGGAATAAGGAATCTGTGGCCCTCCAGAAGTTGTTGAACTCACACCACTGTCAGCTTGCATGGGCAACCATCAGGAATATGTGAGTTGTAGTCCAAAATCTGAAAGCCCACAGGTTCCTCATCCTTGTTGTGTGTGTGTGTGTTTATTAAAGAATTTTCATAATTAACAAGGCTACATACAACGTCTCTGTTTTCAGTTCATAGTTACATTCAGTGTGAGACACTGGTGTCATAGACATTGCGAGGTTGTGGGGGAGAGAGGGGTGGGGAGAAAGAAGGGGGTAGTAATTTTTCATTCTTTTGCTTAGTGTATATGTAGAACTGGCCCTATTGAATATATTCCAAGACAACAACACACACTCACACTACAAAGAACTCATAAGCCACCTATTCTCAGTAGCTAGGAGCATCTTAACTAGACACTGGAGAGACCTGTCAGGAGTAAACGTGGACCAGAGTATGGGAAACAGCCCTCCTAGAAAACCTAACCAACAAATTGAAACTAACACAAGGACCTGTCTGCCTTCTCTTTTGAGATCCTTCCAATTTCTCCCATTGTTTTGGATACATTGTAGTACTCCAATAATTTGGCAAGCCACTCTATCTTTGTTGGTACAGTACCAGACAGGGACTGGAAGGTGTTTAAAAGATACTTGCAAAAACTATATCGAAAAATCAGAACTCCTATTAGAATAAACAAGTTTCGTTTCAAATATTGGAATACTAAATAAGATGGATAACAATGTCTAATAGAAAAAGAAATATGAAATTAGGTTAAAGGTGTGTGAAAGAAAGTAATAGAAGTAGAAAGAAATTGCAATTGAGTAGATTGGAAGTCTAACACAAAGGGTGAGGGGGGGTGGATGGTGATGGGAATTATCTGTGGGATTCAGTGTAGGTATGTTGTAGGTATGTTGTATGTATGTAGGTATGTTGTATGAAATGTATGTTTGTATGTGTATTAATGTTGAATTATTTTAACAATAAAAAATTATATAAAAAAGAAGAAACTAACACAAGGACAAACAAAAGAGGATGCCTTTACCCCAGTATGGTTCACCTTTTTTACATATACAATCGTACCTTGGAAGTCGAAGGGAAACCATTCCAGAAGTCTGTTCGACTTCCAAAACATTCAGAAACCAAAGCGTGGCTTCTGATTGGCTGCAGGAAGCTCCTGCAGCCAATCAGAAGCCGTGAAAGCCCCGTCGGACGTTTGGCTTCCAAAAATAGTCTGCAAACCAGAGCAGTCACTTCCGAGTTTGCGGTGTTCAGGAGCCAAAACATTCGAGAACTAAGCTGTTCGAAAACAAAGGTATGGTTTTACAGCCCAACAAGACAACAACATAAACTCCTCATCCCTCTTGTAAAATAGTTACAGTTCTAAGCACCTTTTACTTGGGAGCAGTAGGTTGAAGTAAGTGTGGAATCGACACCTGATCCTGCTGTGCTCCCTTGCTGAACATCAGCTTCTCTGCTTTCCTGAAAATATTGTCACTGGGCAGTTTCTTAGCCCTTCTAAGGAAGCAGAATTTTGAGCCGCATGGCAGGGATAGTAGGGACTGAACACAACTGCCCAAATGCATCTGGAAAGTTTCCCCTGAAATCCTCTGAAAGATTTCACACATCTCTAATATTTGGTAGCCTTGTGGTACATCTTTTAAAATCAGTTCTTTTCTCCCTGTATGCACAGAGGCTTAAATTATTCAGTGTACAATTAACACTCCAAATTAATCCCCTATGTGCTTTTTAGAAACTGAAGATCGGGTAATATGAACTCCATACTTAATTTTTAGAAAAGAGAGGCCAGAGGCTGAAGGCTCCATCAGAGGGCTCATGACTGTTTTGGAGCTAAACGTGAAATGCAAGCAAACTTTGTCCATGGCAAGGTATGTGTGGATTGACTGGGATTAAAATGAGTATGAGAAGACTCCCTGGAAAAGACCCTGATGTTAGGAAAGATTGAGGGCACAAGGAGAAGGCGATGACAGAGGACAAGATGTTTGGACAGTGTTCTCGAAGCTACGAACATGAGTTTGACCAAATTGCAGGAGGCAATGGAAGACAGGAGTGCCTGGCGTGCTCTGGTCCATGGGGTCACGAAGAGTCAGACACGACTAAATGACTAAACAACAACAACAACAAATCTTCTACACTGCTCTTTACTACTAACTGATATTGGCATGGTGGTATTATTCCTGTGTAAGAGTCTCAGTTTGTACAGAAAGTGGTTAATGGACCCAGAATGGGTGCTTAAGATCCACAATCAGTGGCAGTGTTGCCGGCCACATATATTGTTAATAAAATTACAAATAAATAGTGCATAGTGGCTTGAGACACCTCAAGGAGGCAAGAGGAGATTTGGGAAAGAATAATATGAAAAGGGATGGTTGAATACACTCTGTGTGAACAAGAAGATCAGGAGCATTTTGGAGCATCTTGAAGCTCCTCTGGAGATGGAGGTTATACACTTCTTATTACAGGGGAGAGACCAGGAGCTCACCAAGACAGTAGCTAAG